GGCCTCATTGGCAACTCCTATCCGAACATCTACATCGACTACTACGACTACGTCGACTACACCAAGCTTTGGCTAAGGATTCGGTCACGAGCACCAGCCAAGAGGGGCTAGGGGACCACACCGGAGGATCAACCACTCTAGAGCATGAAGTATTTGGTCCGACACTCGTGAGCAAAAATTCGGAGGCCTCACAACAACCTTCAGCCATGACTACTTCGACTACATCGACTACCCCAACCACGACAACTTGAGATGATACTAGAGGCGTAGGCCTCGAGATGAAGACTTGCACATCAATGATGTCCTAGAGATGAAGATCTACACGTCGTGTGAAGCCGGTGAACCAGGTCGCAGAAGTAGTGAAAGGAGCCAAAGCCCAAAGATGAAGATGGCTGGGAGATCATGGCACTTGGAGCAAGAAGCCTTGGGAATTAGAATGAGTGTACGTCAGAGTCGTGCGTGTACTCTTTTCTCCATGCCCTTTTTCCCATAGGGTTTTTGGGATGGAGTTTTTAGTGAGGCGCGCAAGTGCAGGGTTGCCAAGGGCAGTCCTTGCAACCAGTTTTTGAGTTGTATTGTGCCTCTTCTTGTATGAGAGCAGCTACTGGGTTATGTAGTACCAGCCATAACCTAGTAGCTGAGGGGATACTGTTGGAGGAGCCCATATTCATATGGGTCAACTCCCCTAGAAGAGGCCCAATAAGGGCTAGTGTGGTGACTTGTCAATTCCACCCCCACTGGGGGGTCGCTTGTAAATTGTTGTTGTCCATATATAAAGCCAAGAGCATGAGGGCCAGGGGGCTGCTCCCTTCTAACTCTTACCGGCAATCCCTAGCCGCCTCCTTCCACTCTCCACTCCTAAACCTATTCGGGAACCGCTTCCCAACAGTTTTGCTTCCACTCTAAATTTCATCTCAATTGTAGTACCTGTTGGATAATCAGACAAATTCATGTTTAAATTTTAATAAAACATGACAAAAGGACATACTAGCACGCATCTTACTAACATATTAGACACCATGAACAACATCATAATAGATTCAGTAAACATGACACCATGGCTAAGCTGTTGTAGCTCTGATATGTTGTTAGCGAGAGGTTGACGACAAAGATGATGGCCCGCAACATGGCGTGACTTAGAGAATGAAGACGACCATCATAACAAATTTTAGCAGTTGTGTGGAACACTTCCAATACCAAACTTAAGATTAGTTACTATTTGGTGAGAAGACGACCATCGCTTGTAACAAATTGGACGTCGCTAGCGCCCGGACGTCCGACGCTAACCCCCCTGTCCGGACGCCCACCCGCAAGCATGTGGGGCCGCCCGTGCTAGTGGGGACCACCTCCGCCTGCGCTCGCTTCTCGCACCTGACACCGAGGCGAGACAACAGAAAGGCGATGAGGGAGATGCAACACCCGATCTAGTTTTGAAACATCCAGATGCAACCACACAATATACATATGAAAATAAATGAAACATTTGAAACATGCTTCTGAAACACTTGCAAAAACACCTAAAAACACTTGAAACCATTATAAACATAGCAACATCCAGATAAAACACTTGCATCATATGTGTGAAAATATATACAACATTCAGATAAACACACTTGCAACATACATCGAAAAAAAGATGAAACATTGAGAACAGGAGCTTGCAACATACGTGTACAACCATTGCAACATATGCAACATCCTGATCTACTTTTGCAACATCCATATGAAACACTTTGCAACATACCTATGAGAACATCTGAAACACTTAAAACATATATTTGCAACATGGGGCGGCAGTCGATTCCAACCCTCGAGGTCATCAGAGCCGGCGGCGAGCGGTGGCGCACGAGCACCACCAGCACGCAGCACCAGCGGCGCGCGCCACTAGCACCGGGCTTGGCTCAGCCAGGTGGGTGCCGCGCACGACGAGCAGAGCGAGCACCACCAGCACCAGGGCTAGCAACGGGAGGGAACAGGAGGCGCATGTGGGTTGGGGGGCGGGCAGCGCGTGTGGCACGACAGCAGCGAGGCGGAGTGGCAACCATGATAGGTGATTGATGTGGTGGAGGCAGTTGCTTTGTAGACAGCGATAGAAGTGGCTGATACGTTCTGGAGTGGAAGCAGCAGGAGCAGGGGAGGCTGCCTAGGCCGGTCCATAGGCCCATTAAGCAAGCGCCCAGGTGGCTGGACGCCGGGTGTAAGCATTTTCATAACAAATATTTCAGCAGTTGTGTGGAACACTTCCAAGACCAAATTCAAGATTAGTTACCGATTTGGTGGTGATCAAGAGAGAACATGTGGTCTCGTGTCAAATTCACTGGCTAAACTAAAGTTACCCTTTGGTGGCCATTTCACTACTACAGAATTGAACATCATTGCCGACCTCATCACTGCCGAATATTAAAAAACCGACAGTGATAGACAGTGATAGACCATCACTGCCGGTTTTTAGCTAAAACCGGCAGTGATAGGACCAACCGACACTGATATTCGAGTATTCACTGTCGGTTCATATCACTGTTGGTTTTAGCCAAGAACCGGCAGTGATATTGGGTCATCATTGTCTGTTTTAGCCAAGAACCGATACTGATACTATCACTGTCGGTTCGTGGCTTGAACCGACAGTGAAATGCTGCAAGAAAGCTTCATAAGTTTCTCATATGATGTCTGATGAAGACGAACTTTATATCAAAGTTGTAGTAATCGACGAGATCAAACTTTTTTAATTTAAGATAATTTGGATGTCCAAATATTTTCATTTGAAATAATCTATCTAATGAAAATTACGTTTGATTTCTAAAATTTAAAATTTAAATTTTTCAAACGGCCTTAGATGGAGAAACGTCCAAAACAAATGTTATAGATCTCGAAAAGTTATGCAACTTTGTAGTTGAAAACTTTTTCATTTGAGATCATTTACTACTTGAAAATACTGTTTAAAATTAAAATTAAAATTTAAAATTGTTGAAAAACTCTGATTTCTCTTTTTAATCTCTGGCTAAAACTTGTAACTCTTTCTCCCTCATACTAACTTCAAATTTTATGATTTTTTTTTCTAAAATTTCTAAAATCATGCTCTATCGATTTATTGTGTTGTTACCACTATTATTTTATCCATCTTTTCATGTGACTATGTTTTATCTATTTGAATTTTGAATTTTAAAAAATAGCAACTTCAAACGTTATTTTGGAACACTAAATGATTTCAGCTGAAAAAATCATGAACATAGAAGTTGTAGAACTTATCAAGATCTATAACTTTTATTTTGATCATTTCTTCATTCGATAAAGTGGTAATAACATTGTTCACAAATTTTACATCTCTCTTATAGTTTCGTAAACAATAAGAGGGATATGTAGCATTTATGAACAACCTTACTACCGCTATGTCGGTTGAATAAATGATTAAATGACCAAAATAGAAGTTGTAGATCTTGAAAAGTTATGAAACTCTGCAATTGACAACTTTTTGATTTGAAATCATCTTGTCAAGGAAAATTACGTTTGAATTTTTAAAATTTGAAATTTAAATTTTGCAAATGACCTCGGATGGAGAAACTATCAAAATAAAAGTTGTAGATTCCCAAAAGTTATGAAACTTTGTAGTTGACAACTTTTTGATTTGAAACCATCTTCTCAAGGAAAACTATGTTTGAATTTCAAAAAATTTGAAATTTGAATTTTTTAAACGACCTCGGATGGACAAATAGCAAAAAAAATTTTTAGATCTCAAAAAGTTATGAAACTTTGTAGTTGATAACTTTTTGATTTAAAATCATCTTGTCATGGAAAACTATGTTTGAATTTCTCAATTTGAAATTTAAATTTTATAAACAACCTCGGATGGAGAAACTACCAAAATGAAAGTTGTAGATCTCGAAAAGTTATAAAACTTTGTAGTTGATAACTTTTTCATTTGAATTCATTTAGGGTCTCAAATAATCATTTCAAAATTAGATGAACATAAAATGGTTAGGACTAAAATCTCATTTGGACACAAACAACTTGCAAGTGGAGTGGTTAGGGGCCGATGACGTGAAGCAGGACGACAGGGGTTCGAGCGCCGGTGGCCGCGAAGCACGCGTTTTTTGGGCGAAAAATTGCTTGACTTGTGACTTGCGACGCGCGACCATGTGGCTGTCCAGTGGAGCCTCTCTCGGTATTAAAAAAAAATTCCTATTTTTTCAATGAATTTTTTGACTTTCCTAGAAGCCACATCACTGCCGGTGATGTCAATCCCATATCGCTGCCGGTATACCACTGCCGGTTCAAAATCCGGCAGTGAAGGAGTTTTTTGAACTGAGAGCGATATTAAGATCTGGGGTAGTGTTTGGTGGTGATCAAGACAGAAGAACATACGGTCTCATGTCAAATTCACTATCTAAACTAAACATGTTTGCATATCTCATAACAGCAAGTAACAAAAAAGTTGAAAACAAAGCCACACTTAACCCACGCTAATAAAAAAGAGTAAAAGCAAGTGGTGTTCTTCTCCCCCCCCCCACACTGTGTCGTTGAAGGGACGTCCCTATTTAAGTTGGCCAGATTTCAATTTCACGAGCAATTTGGGACTAAATGATCTACTATTCTCTAGCTGTACATGCATGGGTCATTGGGATTTCTGCATATTACATGGGTCTAGCCCACATAATAGTGCTTAGTCCACATGCCTATTCTTTTCTTCCATGTTTCTTTCATGCTTCGAGGTACCAACGGTTTTTAATTTTAAAAAATGCTACAAAAGTCGATCTTGACATGACCACCAAAAAAGTTGCAAAACCTGCACAGTTCAGTGCTAAGCTAGCTCCACCGCCTATAAGAATCCCCATGGGGCTTCAAGACAAGGCCCATGCCTCCGAAACCTACAAGCAGCTTGTCTGATCTCTGCTAGAACTCGGCAGCTCGCTGATATACATCCAGTCATACAAAGCTTCAGGCACAGCAACTCCGATCCTAAGTAAATCCTTTGATAAGCAGCTTCATAAGCTTTCCACACAAATATGAGGATCAGTAAAAGTGCCCCAGATCTCCTGAAGAAGGCAGTGACGTCCGTTAAGAGCAAGACTGATGCTCTAAGAACAAAGCTCATCATTCTGGCCTCTGTGCGCCAAAGGTTAGCGATGGCCCCAGTGATGATGTCTCGCCAGATCCATGAGCTTGTCGTGTCGGACAGCCGCGAGAAGCCGGCTAGGGTGGAGCACCGCAGCAAGGCTCTCACGATGCCCAAGGCAATGACGAAGAGCGAGGAGCCAACTGGTGATCACGGTTCTAGGGCTCATCCTGGTCTGTTTGAGGTGACCATGGCTACCCAGACTGGACCAATTCCCTCTTCGAAGATGACAACTGTTACAGGAATGAGGAGGATGACCATGACGACGACGACCACGATGATCTTGGTATTCTTGATGCGCTTGATGAAGAGCCATCGGTCTTCGAGATCATAAGGAGCAAGCGGGAGGCTGAAGGTCTGGAGTTCAACATGGACCATGACATCGACGAGGCCTGTGACATGTTCATTAGGAGGTTCTGAAGCCGGATGAACCGGAGCTTTAGTGATCTTTGTATTAGCGGATAGTTATGACAAATTGAGTGTTTCATCAAAAAAAAAGGACAAGTTGAGTGACAGTATATAGAAGGTTGGACGAGATGCTTGAGATTTACTCCTACGTAGTAATGGTTAACTGGGGAAGAATGGAAATTAACTTGGTTGTTTTTTTGAACACATAGCTTATTCTGTAGGGAGCATATGGTTCACCAGTTTTAGTCTTCATCTACCAGTTGTTCCAGTATCATAACTGCTACTCCGTATGTTCCAAATTGTAAGTTGTGTAGCCTTGCCCTAAGTCAAAAGTCAAATTTCATAACTGCGCCACTCCATATGTTCCAAATTGTAAATTGTGTTAGCCTTGCTCTAAGTTAAACTTCTCTAATTTTAACTGTTAAAAAATATGTACATTAACATCTAAAATATAAAATAAATACATTATCAAAACAATCTCATGCAGTATCTAAAAATTTTGTTAGACATTCTAGACGTTTATGTATTTTTTATAAACTTAGTTAAAACTAAAGAAATTTGACTTATGATAAAATTAAAATGACTTATAAAATGAATACATGTGGACCTAAAGTGACTATACACAAATAAACAATTTTTGTGTGGTTTCTTCCAACATTAATCTATTAGTGCTAACATAAAAGGAGTCTTCTATATCTATACCACACCTAGCTATGCATCTATTTCAATTGTTAGAAGTGATTCAGACCCTAATGGATCTAGTATGCAAAAAAGTAGAACCATAACCACTATAAAAAAATACATAAGCAGGAACAACACCGAGGCATGATGTTTTTTTTTTTTACCTAGGTTCGATGTTCTTAGGCATGACTTCGAGCGCTGCTCACCATAAAACAACAGTACATGGCCATCTAGGCGTTCCCATGGCCTTACCGCCACCAAAAACAGCCACCAAGCTGTCTCATATTTACAACGGTGTCTCGTATTTATGGCTCCCTATATGATACGGAGTTCGACTCTATCCTAATTGCTAACCCTTAATAATACAACTCAACTCCAAGTGTAGCTGGATTGTACACATATTCAAGTATTCGACACATATCTAACACTCTACAAATATAATTTTTATAGCCCTCAAATTTAAGTTTCCAACAAAACTTGAGTACTTTTTTTCATTCAAGAAAAGTTGAACTATCAAATGCATTTATCGTGAGAAACATGGTCTCACTCTCCACATATACAACTGGCGTATTTACATCTTAATTAACCCTGCGGCTCCGTCCTTGCAGCTAGCTTTCCCGTCAATAATGGAGTTCACCATACCGCCAGTGATTATTTCCTTTCAATAGCTAGCATTGGGTGTCGCTGTCAGCTGCCACAGTATCCGCGCTCGTGTATAGTGAGTCGCCTCCACAAAGATACTTTGCGAGTGCAAGGGCAGGAAGCAACGGCCGGCATGATGACGACGCTCAGCTCCTAACCATGCGTCTCTCCATCGACGCGATTTGGTTTTCTTTTTGTGTTGACGAGAACAACCAAAGCGTCCGCGCACGGAGAAGCACGTACAACCACAGCAGTATAGTATCATCCCAAAGCTACTTCTGAAAGCTAAGGGCACTTGTAGAATCTCTTTGTGTATGAATCACACGGAAGCGACCACGAAAAGCGTTTTGGTTAAAGGTGGGGATGCACATCACCATTCACCAGCCGGCTACTTCTTTTTTTAGATTTTCACCAGCCGGCTACTGATGCAAAACCAACGACGGAGTTGGAACTTGGGATCCGGGAGAGCCAATCATCAGTCATCACCATGCGCCAGGTGTTGATTGGAATTTTCTTCAAGGTAGAAACCTAAGTTCTAGAAAATTAAAATAAGAGAAAAATATAATGCACTGGCAGCTCCTAGTAGCGGGGAGTCATCTAGGTCCCTAAACTCCTAAAATACACATCCAGGTCCATAAACTAGGCACATGGTACGCCACATTTCCAAACAGATCCAGGCTAATGTGGTGGTCTACGCTGACACCAACGATGCTAGACCAGCCTCTAAACTTGGCAGAGTGTGTCATCAAGGTCCCTAAACTTTCAAAATGCACAACCACGTACATGAACTAGGCCCACACTATGTCGCAGGTACAAATAAAAACTCCATCGGATCAAATGCTCTATAGTATTTTTCAAAAATACTACATAAGATCAAATAAAAACCACGACGGATGCTCCGGTGAACATCAATAAGTTGGCCACTTGTTGATGTTCCGGTATTTATGTCGTATCTTTTTGCTCTGGACTCTAACTTTGATGTTCTTGGACTTTTTCGAAAGATTTTGAAAATATTTACATGTTTAACCTAATATAATAGCAATTTGACCAATTATAAAGTAAAGGGACAAGTCTAATTCAATCCTCTCTTTGTCTCGTCTTTAATTCCTTTCCCTTTGATTTCTTGCATCCCTATAACCTGTGAACGCATCTTAACACACATGTTAGTCCTATTGTCATCTAAATCACTTACATCAAACTTGGTCATGTATAGAGCACGTAATCCTTACAAGCTTTTATCTCATCAGCATTAGACATCCAATTTGAATCACTATAACCCTCTAGTACCTCGGTACCCAGTATAGTGAATACCAAAATCATAGTCCTTTTGGATAGAGTATCATTCTCTCAATAGCACACCAATGATCACTCTCGGGTTAGAAATAAGCCGACTTACTTTGCTCAAAGAATGAGATGTTTGACCTCATATAGCTAGCCAAATGCATAAGTGAGCCAATGATATGGGAGCGTCTCAATTGTACCCTTGTCATTTTTTAGTGTTTCCTCAATAACACTAGGATCATATAGTGTTGGAGTAGGTATGCAATCACTATATCCAAAGCAACAAAAAAATATTTTGCACATAGTACGATTGCAGGAGTTAACCCAACCATCACCTTCTCTCAGAGTAGCTTAATGTTAAGAATAACGCCAGCCACTCCAAAATCTTTCATTTCCAAATTTTGATACAAAAAATCCTTGACTTCCTTAATCCCATTAAGTTTTGTATCAATATGTCATCAACATACAAGCATAAGATCAGTCCCCCACACCCGCATAGCAATAGTACACATATTTTTACTGAATTCTCATGGCATTACTTAGGTTCTTGCTTAAGACCATACAATGTGTCGGTGCAGAAAGTGACCAACACGTAAATATTTGTAGTTTTGTTGTACGTTGTGATCGGATGCGGCATAGCACTCAATGACACAGGGTTTATACTAGTTCAGGCAACGTACCCTACGTCCAGTTTGAGTCGGTTGGTGACTTTATTCCTGAGCCCAGGTGCTCGAAGTTTATTGTGGGGTTACAAACGGAAGGGAGTAAGATGGGGGGTGTAAGAGGCCCGGTCGGACTCTGGTCTGAACGGCCGAGAGTGACGAGAGCTCCTGCGTGCGCTGAATATTCGAGCGTGTGCTCGAGGTTTGAAGCTGGTGGTTCTGTTGTTGTGTGTTGAATCGATCTAAGTGAACTGAGCCTCTTTTTGTTGAGAGAGAGCGCATCCCCTTTTATAGGTATAGGGGATTGCCTTACAAGTGAGAGAGGGAGAGTGTACGTATGCTAAGTCTTGTTGCCCACGCCGTCGGGTACAAGATGATTGTAGGCGCCCATAACACTGTTAATGTCAGATGCATGTGGGAGGTTGCGTCGTCTTCTTCTGGTATGGCAAACGTCGGTGCCTGCCATACTGTTGATACCTAGAGACATGTAGGGGGTTTTACCATGTTCGCCTGATATGGTAAATGCCGGCGCCCACAACACTGTTGATGCCCAGAGGCATGTGGGGGGGAGCCTTACCGTGTTTGTCTGGTGTGGGAGTTGATGGCGCCCACAACACTGTAGGGCAAAAATCGACGCCCACAATACTGCTTGGGTTCTGACATGCCAAGAAGGTTGCAGGGTACCCTTCTGACATGCCCTGTTTGGTACTATTCTGCAGGTGTACAGGGTACGGTCCTCGGTATTGCGGTTGACTTGAGTGCCCTGCCTTAATTTCTCCGTCCGTTTCCTGGTCCTCACCGAGCAGGCGTCCGACTGTGCCAGTAGGAGAAGAGGTGTAAGCAGAGGTTCAGTGTATCCCTAGTCGGAGACGCGGGTCGGAGTCGGAAGCGGTGTTTGGCCAGGCCTTCCAGTCGGAGAGGCGGCCCGAAGTCGGAAGCGAGTGTTGTTCCTCCTTGGCCAGGCCTTTCAGTCGGAGAGGCGGGCCGGAGTCGGAAGCGAGCGTTGTTCCTCCTTAGAGAGGCCTTCCGGTCGGAGATTGGATCGCCCTTCTGGCCTGTCGTTTTAGGTATTTGGGCTGGCCCAGGAGTTGCGCGTCGTTCGCAACATCGTCTGCTGGGCCGAGCCTTTGCTGGGAAGCCGGTCCATGAGGGACCCCGGGTATATGAACCCAACACAATGATTTCAATAACTTATACACAATTTCTTCTTGACCTAGTACTACAAATCCATCCAGCTTATCTATGTAGAACTTCTCTCTAACTCTCCATTTCGAAAAATTGCCTTAACATCCATATAATTAACGAGAAGATCGACTATGTGAGGCATCAAGGAAAATAGTACTCAAATTGTGGTCAATTGGACAACTAGTGAGTAAGTATCTAAAAAAATATGTCCTCTCTTTTTGGGTATAACCCTTGGCCACACACCTAATAAGATCAAAAGTAGAAGCACTAGGGTTTGAAGTTAGCACATCGATAAACAACCAATAAGATTAGAAGCTGAAAGCTAAAATTTAGATTCATTAAAACAAAAGGATATAAAAAGGGCCATAATATAATTTAAGCTAAAGTTCCAACTCTGTATATTGAATACCCATACAGATGCAATGCATAGAATTAAAACGCATATAGAGGAATTGGTAAATTATCACGATCGGATATAAATTGTGGAGTATCTAAATGAGTATTGTGTTGGAAATGAAGAGAGAGAGAGAGAGTGAGAGTGAAGATAACTAATTTTAGTTGTGCATACTAAATCCATCCAAAAAACTTTTAATACTTATTATGTGATGTAATATTATAGGCCATGCTGAAGCACTAAGTTGATAGGCTAGTTATAATAGTAAAATAAGATGCAGTGACAAGAACACATTTTTTAGAACTAAGAAGCTAGAATTAGGTCTTGTTTGTCATAGCTCCAAATGGCTCCGGTCCCTTGCTACAACTTAAAGAGGAGCCGGAACTGGTGAAGAAAAAAAAAACAGTTATTTACTACCGTCTATATAATGCACGGAGGAGCATGAGCTGAAACCAGCCAAAACTCCACCGCATGCCGAATCGCCAATTTGCCATAGGAAGACAAGAGTTTCCATCTTGCACACAAGCTGATTTACTTTTGGTGCGGACATGCAGCAAAGCACACAGACATATAGAAGAACCGTTGTCAGTTGTCTAGTGTACACCACTGCACCTACATTATAGACAAAAAGCTAAGGGCACTGGAAACGACTTTGAGCTAGCCTGCCCCATTGGGGCATGAATCACACGGAAGCGCCCAAGAAAACAAAAGCGATCCCTTTGGCCGCTTGTCCGTTTATGACGGTAGCCATCACCGGCCACTTAGTGCATAGATTAACAAACAATTTGAACTTTTTTATCAGAGGGAGCCAATCTTCACCTGGGGCAGGTGCACTTTCATTCCGTAACTTGAGTGAAATTTTTTCTTCATGTCCTTTTTCAAAAACCTTTTCTTGGGAACGCAGTACATATGCTCACTTACAAGTGCAGGCCTTCATGGCATCGGCACATATGAACTCATGTCGTACATTCTGTCCCTATGCATGAACTTATAGTGCGTTGTGGTTTAACTTTTGGGACGATGGCAACGGTAATGTAATTAACTCACACTGCTATCTGCTCTCTCCGTCCCTAAATGTATGTTGTTTTTTCTTCCCAAGAAACAACTTTGACTAAATATATATTAAAAAATATTAATGTTTATAATATATAATTAGTATTATTGGACAGATATTAGAATCTAGTTTTTTAATAAATTTATTTGGAGATAAAAATGTTGTACGTATTTTCTATAAATCAAGTCAAAATTATTAATACGTAAATTATGGCGACAAACATTTAGCGTGGAGTATTACACTGCAATATTTAGCAGCTTTTGTTTGGTTGGGACGCCAGCTTTTGTCATGGAGGGAGACGTATACGCAGCCTAATCATTAACTCCGGGAGATGGGCAGTATCGAGATTCTGAAGACCCGTACCAGGAACCGCGGCAACTGGATACAGGACGTCTGAACCAAACAACAAATAAAGTGATGAGGTGCATGCCGCTCTGAATCGATAATAGAGGAAAACAACCGAACCAAATGCGCTCTTAATAGGGTAATTTTATTAGTGGACTTCATTCAACTGTGATATTTGTCGATGGACGCACTCAACTTTGTTTGTGCCAGTGAATATCCTTCAAATATGGTCATTTGTTGCAGGACACATAATTTATTAAAACAATATTTTTCAATTATGGATGAGTAAGGGAACTAGTGAAAAGACCAATTTTGCCTTGTAGTCACATGATATCCAACGTATCATAATTAGAAGGATGCCAAAGGGTGTGTAGCTGAACTGGTTAGGTGGCCTCGGCGGCACTCCTCAGGTCCTGAGTTCGACTCCCCGTGGGAGTGAAGTTCAGGCTTGGGTTAAAAAAATCCCTTCATCTGTCCCACAGTCAAAGCGCAGGTCTCACAGGGCAACGGTCCTCTCTTACAGCAATGTCCGGGGGTGGCTTACCCCCGCAGGTCGAGTTTTTTTTCATAACTAGCAGGATCCGTGATCGACGTAAGCGACGACAAAATTTGAATAGCCTAGGTATCCTACAGGAAATTATCACATTTGAAGAATATGTTCATTACCAAAAGACAATGTTAAGTGGTGTCCATCGACGAATGCTACAATTAGATGGTGTCTACCAGTAAATTAATCCATGAACTTACACATATGCTACCCTTATGAACCCTAGCTTGCTTCCACTATCGATATATTGTTCTTAATTGCAGTGCTTACTACACATACCAATTGATTTCTCCAAGTGTTATTTTCGTGCTTTGAGCTGCCAAAAGCTTGATCTTGACATGAGGAGAGAGCTGCACAGTTCGGCGTTTCGTGACCACCTAACTAGCTCTTGGCTATAAGTACACCTCATTTGGCATCAAGGCAAGGCCCGTGCCTCTAAAACCTACTGTGTCTCATAAGTCGTTTCTCTGCAACTCACTACTACTCATGCAAAGCTTCAGCCACAACAGAGCCTTAGAAACCATATTTGATAAGCAGCATTATTGTTAGCTCTCCACCAACTCTAAGATGAGGATGTGCAAGGCCCCTGAGCTGCTGAAGAAGGCGGCAACTGTGTTCAAGAGCAAGACTGACACCCTAATAACAAAGCTCTTCGTCCTAGCCTTGCTCCGCTTCAAGATGGCAACGGTCCGGACGATCTCTCGCAGGATACATGCGCTGATGTCATCAGACAGGGAGAATCAGACCAGGTTGGAGTATGGTGACAGGGCGCTTGTCTTGCGCAAGGTGGCAGCGGGCATCCAAGAGCCAGCTACTACTGATCATGAACAAGATGGTGTGATTGATCTCTCTGAGGTGGCGATGTTTGTAGAAGATGATCACGATCACTGCCCTGACTGGACACACTCATTGTTAACTCTGGGCGTTCGGGTTACCCGAATAATTCGGGTTGGGTAGTTCGGGTTTTGGGAAATTCGGGTAATGAACAGTACTACCCGATAACAGCCCCGGAAAAACAGTACCCGCAATTTCGGGTACCCGCAATTTCGGGTTCGGGTATACCCAATATACCCGAAATTATAGAATCACAGCAAACATCACAGAATTTGCATAGAATTTGAACCGGACAGAATAATTGATAACTGATAAGTTCAAGTTTTCAACCGCAGATAATCACAAACAGTGAAACACTAAGACAGAGGCATAGTTGCATAGCCATAGAGTCACATCTCAGACCTGACATACATGATACTTACTTAGTAGTCTTGTGCACATGCAACATGCAATGCAAGTGCAAACCACGACACAGTCACAAAGACACAGTTAAAGGCTTCAAGCCTGCTGCTTGCCAACGCATCACACAAGAACAGAAGTTCAAACAAAATAGTGAAACACATCACCCAACTGACACAAGAGCAAGTGACTGTCGAGTGTCCAAAGTCCATACTCTAGTCCTCCATACTCTAGTGGCAGTAATCCAGTCTAGTTGTAGCTTTCAGAGTTCAGTGCACTCTGCAATAAAAGTTGATGGTTGAAATCTGTGCACAGCATATTTCAAAAGAATACTGAATACTCCATTCATACTTGACATATATACCTTTAAGTTTTGGAGGGAGTCGAGGCCTGATTGTTGCTGCTTGGTGTTTGTGACTTGGAGGTGCCGACAGAAGGCTGCTCATTCTTTTTCCCTTTGCCGCCATATTCTTCTATCCACTCTGTAAATGCACAGCACAGTTACATATTTCATATTGCATACAGTAAATACACAAATGCAAGCAAGTAAGCAAATATGATACCTTTTTCTATTATGGCCAATTCCTCCGTACTCTCCTTTATGTCAACAGTAGGCCTTCGAAGCCAATCCTGCGTGCATACTAAAGCCTCTAGCATGAATGGAGTAAGAGAGGTACGGAAGTCATCCAAGATACGTCCACCTATGCTAAAAGCGGACTCTGACGCCACTGTTGTGATGGGTATAGCAAGCACATCACGAGCCATGTGACTCAAAACTGGGAACCTATTTGAATTGACTTTCCACCAACCAAGAATGTCCATTTTCTTTTCTGTGTCTTCAGTTTCTTCAGCAAGATATTTCTCAAGTTCAGATTTATTGGTGCTGGTAGAACAATTGCTCAGTTTCATCCTCTTGGCGATTTTTTCTTTAAGCATTCCTCCTGCACCTCCCTTAGATTGATTAGCATCAATTACTTGAGTTGTTTCTTCACTTGTAGCATACATGTTCCTGTATTCTTCAAACAACTCTCTCACACAAGTATTAATTGCTGCCCAAACCAATTGACATCTTTCCTCACCAAATATCTCTTCAACGCTAATCTTTGTGTACAAAGATAACTTGTACCTTGGATCAAGGAATGCAGCCACAAATATGAATAAATTGATGTTCTCCTTGTCCTTGTCCTTGTCCTTCTCCTTCCCCCTGCCCTTGCTCCGCCCTTTATCCCTATCTTGCTCTTGTTGTTGCCTGTCATTGTCCTTGCTGTTGGTGTGCCAAAGTCCCCAGTATTTATCAAATTTCTCTTTCATTCTCATCCCCATTGATACTTGCAAATTATCTTCACTGTTCAGCCATTCTTGAATCAACAGATGGACTTCTCCAATCTCATGAAAGAAAGTGTTGCAAGTGACTTGGAGAGAAGAAGAGATACGAACAGTAAGGTCATGGAAATGCTGTAAAAATTGTGCCATCTTCTTTGCATTGTCCCAATCATCTTCATCAGGATGCCCAAAACCATCCCTTGCTTCAGACAGATCAATAACATAATTAGTGTCATCTTCAGCTAACTTTAAGAACACTTTCTCATACACAATTGCAGCCTTCAACATCAAATATGTGTAATTCCACCTTGTCGGTACATCAAGTTTCAAAAAAGCTTTGCTGTCCACTTTCTCTTCCTCAGCAATTTCTTTAAACTTGACCAATCTTGAAGTCCCATTTTTGATATATCTAACAGCAGCCCTAACACGCTTGATAGAGAGATCCACTTCTTGCAATCCATCTCTTACAATAAGATTCACAATATGGGCTACACACCTCATATGCAAAAACTTGCCCTTGGCAATGTTGGTTTTCTGCAGCTGCCTCCTCAAGTAATCAACACCACTGTCATTGGCACTTGCATTATCCAATGTTACAGTCATTACTCTATCCAAACCCCAATCAGCTAAGCATCTTGTCAAGTTCTTCCCAATATCCTCCCCCTTGTGACCCTTTACCATAAAAAAACTTATCACTTTCTTATGCAGATTCCAGTTTTCATCAATGAAAGTTGCTGTAACAGTCATATATCCATCTTGAACCTGAGAAGTCCAACAATCTGTTGTGAGGCACACTCTCTGACAAGAATCTTTGAAGAACTTCTTCAGTTTGGCTTTCTCTTCAAAGTAATGACGTACAATGTCCCTTGTGCAAGTTCTTCTAGATGGAAATTGGAATCGAGGACATGCTTTGGACATAAATTTCCTAAAGCCAGGCTTCTCACCAAAACAAAAGGGTTGCTCATCTTCTATTACCATCTCAGCAAAGGCTTCTCTAAGTGCTTCTTGATCAAACCTCCAAGTGGTAGGGGCTTCCCCCCGACATGCTTGCAAGGTGCCTTGCTTTGGGTCCTTGTTGAAAACATGAGGATTGCGTTTGCATGTACCAAAGTGTTTCTTCAATGCAGATGTTCCATGTCCCCTTGTGTCAGCCTTGATGTCACGGTGGCAATATTTGCACCTTCCAGCCTTCAAAAGTCCTTTGTCGTCCTTGATCTTGATAAAATGTTGCCACATCTCAGACCTTGGTGCCAACTCCTTTCTCTGAGTTTTTTCAGTTTCCTTCTCATCCACATCAATTACCACTTTTTTAGTTCCTTCGGTTTTGCCTTGCTCCTGGGTCTCCAGTGATGGTTGTTCAGCTACTGACATTGGCACCATTACCATTGCCTGCTGACTATCAAATTGAGTGCCAGTGCCCACTGAATCCATATTATCCTCTGGTTCTGGCATCTACAGAAATAAAAAGAGCACTATAATCAGTCACTAAGACAATAAGTCAAACTAAATCACAGATCATATCAACAGATCATAACACATCATAAATCACAGATCATAACAAATCAACTAAATCATGTGCCTCACTGCCTCTGTTAACCATAAATCACAGATCATATAAAAAATCACCATATGATCAGCATCACCATATTATCAAAAACCACAGATCATATCAAATAGAAAAATAACAGATCCACTCATCTACACTACATCACTACACTACATAGTACATACATTGCAATTTGCAGGGACAGAGCCACAGCCCACAGATTCAAAAACAACTAAGGGGAATAGGGCCATAGGGGTTAGGGAATACATACATTGCACGAGGATTCTGATGTGGCAGCCGTCCTTCAATCTTCAAGTAGCCAGGCGCCGGTGTCCCTCTCTAGTGTCCAGTCTCCGACGAGGTCGACGCGCGGGGACGCGAGGTGTCGCGTGTCGGAGTGAGGTGCAGAGGTGGGCGACGGAGTAAGGGCGGCGTCGACGAGCCGACGACTTCGCTCCGCCGCCTCCGCGTCACGCCGTCGCCACACGCGCCCCTTCGGTACCGAGAAGGCAAGAACTGGAGTCTAGACTCTGGAGGGCTGGCGGCTAGGTTTTGGAGGATACAGGGAAGGCAAGAACTGGAGTCTGGAGGGCTGGCGGCTAGGTTTTGGAGGATACAGGGAGTGAGGTGAGGAAATGAGGTTGCGCTGTTGCCTGTTGGGCCGCGCGGGATGTTTGGCCTATTGGGCTCTGACTCAAATTGCGGATAGTTCGGGTACCGGGTGAAGTTACCCGAATTACCCAAATTAAAATCGGGTAATAGGAATCAATATCCGAACTAAACATCGGGCACTGCGGGTTCGGGTTTTTCGGGTCCGGGTCCGGGTATTTCGGGTTCGGGTAACGGGTAGCGGGTAATTTGCCCAGAGTTACTCATTGTTCAATGACGAATATTATAACGATGATGATGAAGAAGAAGAAGGCTACCATGATGATCATGGTACTCTTGATGCGCTCGACGAGCCCTCCGTCATGGATATCATCAGGAGTGTTGGAATGTAATATGGCATGTCGGCCTGCCTGGCCTCACACAATGCCTATATATGTAAACGCTGCTCATACACAGTAATCAATGAGTATTCCCTAATCATATTCTTTCATGGTATCACGAGACGATTCTTTCCTTGCTTCCGCAAACCCATCGCGCCGCCGCTGAACCCACGTTCACCGGTCGATCGATCGCGCCGTCGTAGAGCCCGTCCCGCTCGCCGGCCTCTCCCATCGCGCGCCATCGCAGAGCCGCGCGCCGTCGCAGAGCACGTCTCGCTACGTCGCTGACTCGATCCACTGACTCGCGACATCGAAGTCGCGATCCCAACGTCGCTGACTCGATCCGCTGCCTCGCGAAGTCAAAGTCACGATCTGCCCGTGATCCCGACGTCACTGACTCGATCCACTGCCTCGCGAAGTCAAAGTCGCGATCTACCCGCGTGATCCCGACGTCGCTGACTCGATCCGCTGCCTCGCGAAGTCAAAGTCACGATCTGCCCGCGTCGTCCTGCTCGCCCTCTCCCATGGTGGAAACCGACGCCGCACGCCAGGCTCGCGAGGAGCGCGCCCGCAGGGCAGAGGCCGATCGTGTTGCGGCCCTCGACGCGTACGAGGCCAATTACGCCAACGTCCACGCCGCGGCCATCGCCGTCCTCAACATCAAGGTCCTCGTGCCCCTGGTCTTGGATCACGCTGCTGACAACTATAACCGGTGGCGGTCCATGTTCCTCGTTGTCCTCGCAAGTATGCCCTAACGGACCACGTCCTCTCCGACGTTGTCAACGCCGATCGACCGGCATGGGTGCAGATGAACTGCACCGTGCTCACTTGGATCTACTGCACCATCCACGTCGATCTCCAGCAAT